GAAATTTAATTTATAGGGAATTACTTTAGGTAGGTATATAATATTATATTATATTTATGTATATGGTTCAAGAAAGAAACAAGATTCGAAAGGTATTGAAAAGTTTGAATACACCACACATTGTTTAACTTAATTCAACTATAAAAAATAGGTACCTATTTGATATATTAAAATAAATTTTCAATTGCTATTACTTATTCTATTCTAGAATATAAAAATAGGATATTTCTTTTAAAAATCAAAAGCTGATACCCTTAATACGTTAAACATATGAAGGGGGGGGCGTAATATTATGAAAATAATAATTTGCAAAATTAATGTATGCAATATTCATTAGCAATTAATTAAAACGCTTTAAACCTTTATATCCTGCAGGTATATTGTAATTTCTATCACAAGTTTATATTAAATATACGATATGTACCTACATAATAAATAATAATATATAAACTATTTTAACTATTATTCACGTAATAATATAACGTCTTATAATATAATATTTACCTTTGGTAATTTCATAACAATATAATATATTTATATATGGACCTTTGATAAAACGAATTCAGTACCTATAGTGTTGTATTAAATATTATTGTTATACAGCTAAACAGTATGCACAAATGAGCTTAAAATAAGGTTAGGTTAACCTAACCTTCAGGCCTCAATAATTTTAAAATATATTACAAGTTAATTTCGTCAGTTAATTATTTAATTAAGTATACACATGCAATATTATTAGTAGGTATATTTAATAACTATTTGTGTCGATCAATACATTGATGAACTTCGTCAAAACTACTAATAGTCATCAAATATTTCCGGTATTGTTTCAAAAACATAAATATAATAAAATAAACAAATATTTTTACTTAGATGAAGTTTTTGGTACATGGCCTCACTCACAAATAACTACCCTCGTAGAATATAAATGATATAAAATATTTTGTGGCAAGTCGATACTATACTTGAGTGCCTGTATATATAGGTACATGTATGCAGTCAGGTTCCCAGGGATTGTAAACGGGTTTAAAGGTTTCTGGGAATTATGTTTCCGAAAGAAAATAATCGTAATAATAAACGCATTTCGTTACCATTGGACACTAAAAAAACGCAAGTATAACGCTACGGGAATATTTATGGAAAGCAAAAAAAAAAAAAGGAAAAACTTTCTAGTGAAACTTTGCAATCCTCTGGGGTGTGCCCCCGGAGTCGGCACTTCAGTGAAAATAAGCTCTGACGTTAAAAAAATACTATACATTATACAATATACATGTAAATAATAAATATTTTGTAAACAGGAAAAAAAAAGCTGCTAGGCAATAATAAAATAACGCGTTTCGACTGTATATGTATAATAATAGTACTGCATAACAAAAATCGCAAATCGCCAACGATAATTCGCGGTCGTCTGTTTGTCAGGAAAATGTTGGAACACCAGAGTCAGTTTTTAAAAACGAGTAACGATCTAACAAATATTATGTTGTATTATAATATGTATATAATAATAATATGTATTGTACGTGCATAATAATAATAACAACAGCAACGTGAACGGTGTGTGGGGTGTGTGTGTGTGTGGAGCCTTGATAATGGCCGGCGATTTGTACTAGATGACGTCGTGCGTTGTTCCTGTAACAAATCACGAAAAAACCATGACCTCCTATTGTACCACTGGTCTGCAGCAGGCTGGCTAGCCATAAATCACACGTAGCATCGGGTTGCCACCGCACAACATAGCACTAATCACGAACATGGCGTAATAATATCTATAGTTTTTTTTCTTGGGCTCGTTGCTTTCGTAATTTTTGATCGTTTGTAGAAAATATGAATAGTACGTTTGCAACGATATAGCATCGTTATTTCGTTTACAATATTTTAGTTAGGTACGAAGGTACTATACACACGGAGGGTGCATTACCGTGTACATAAAATATGTATTGTAGAAAAGCTATGGTAATTTCTTATTTTCTATATTTTTGGGCTGGATAAAATTTCTTTTTCTAACCAATTTTATGTATCACCATAGAAACGAAAATCAACAGTTATTATTCTAAAAATAAATTTATAATAGATTAGAAAAAATACTAGATAACTTTAATATATTTATATAGTCCAAGGAGTATAAAAATAATATTTTGCCTAAAATAAATGTTATAGTCTTACGTTTTTTTTTTTTTTTAAATGCCATATTATTATTTATACACTAGAATATTTCTTGGTCAATTGTAAAAACATGATCACATAATAAATGATGTCAATAATGTATATAATTGTATTCGGGATGACACTATGATAGTGCAATATGGGAATTTAGTAGAATCAAAAAATTAATAATTACTTTGAAAATATGTGATGTAGTTATTATTCACCTACATTCATATTTTATTATAATATATTTTATCAGTTAAATTTAAAATTAAAAACATTTTAGGTACACGCGGTTTTCATAATGATAAAAACGTTCAATCGGATGATAAAATATACATCAAAACGGAGATAAAATAATGCTATTATATAGTTATTTTTACATAATCATTAACTCAATCTAATGGTATACGCGTAGTATATTACTTAAACATAAAACATACTAAATATAATATATAGGTACACGTCATGTTAACATTTTTATTTAATTTTTATCTCAGGTATATATTTTGAATAAAGTTAGAATAGGTACGACCACGACGTCGAGGTACCTACCTAACGTGTGACCGCGAAAACTTTGTTTTACAGAGTCCCAAACGTCGTGTTACAAATGTAGATTAATTAAAATAGATTACTCGTGGATACTACACAGTGACATGGAACACGAAGTAACATAACGTTCGTTAATTTAATGCCGCTTTACATATTCATTATAGTATTAAGCAAAATTATAATATAGGTATAACAAAAAATGGTTTCTATCCAGGATGATTTCTTAAGGATTTTCTCAAGCGTTCTCATATTAAATAATATCATAAGCTTACAGCATGATTTTTTATATCACTGAACCATCGTTTTCTCGCTAAAACTTAATAAATTCTGACCCGTTCCATTGATACCAAGTGTGTTAACATTTTGTAGTAATATTTTATGATCTGTAGTATCAAATGCTTTTGCTAGATCCAAGTAAACACTTGCACAGTTTTTTTTTTATTTTCGAAAGAATTATAAATATAGCTTGATACTGTTGCAACTGCTTGTTCAGTACCTTTACCAGGTCTAAAATAAAATCGGGTACATGATAGAAGATTATTACTTTCAAGGTAATGGACTAATTCTTTTTTAATAGTTTTTTCAAAAGATTTGGCAATATTTGATATTTGTGAGATTGGGCGGTAATTTTCAATGTTAGATTTGTCACCTTTTTTGTGTATTAGTGTTATTACAGAAATTTAAAGCATTCCGGAATAGTAGATGTTGTTATGGCTAAATTAAAAATGTGTGATAATGGTTTAATCAATGAATTTATATTTAATTTGAGCATTTTTACTGAAATTCCATCCAACCCTGGAGAAGAATCATCTTTTAAAGTCTTTATTGCTTTTATAATTTCTTCATCATTAATTACACTAAATTTATTAAATGACATGTCTGTAGTATTTGAGATTATAGTTGTTCAGTGTATGTATATTCTATGTTATGTATATTTTGTCTTGTAAGTTTTATTTGGTTATACATGTTTTGTGCTGCATTTGTAAAGTACTCATTAAAATAATTCGATATTTATTTTGATTTATCTGCTGAGTGCAGTATTTCACCAAATTTGTTATTAATAGTTTGAATAAAGAAATTTGTTTTAGAACGGTTTATCGCGTTTTTAATAACTTTCCAGTTTAGTTTCGAGTCATTTCCAGCTTTTTCTAATTCAAATTTATAAAATTTAATTTTAGCTTCTTTTATCGTGTAAGTTAAAATATTCCTATATTTTAAATAGTACTGTTTAAGTTGTTCGTTTAATGGATGTTTTTTTTAAACTCAGATGTAATTTACCTCTACGACGAATTGATATAATAATTGAAGTTGTTGCCCTAAGTTTAATTTTTTTTTGGTTTTTGATGATATCTTTTTTTCTAAAGAACAATTTTTTTCTTCATTTTTTTAAAATTTCAATATTTTTATTCGCCGCGGAATTTAGATTAGAGTCGTTCACTACTGATGACCAATCTTCTTTAATAAACTTGATAGTTTTGAGTAATCAACTTGTTTTATGATTTTTGGATTTGGTGGGTTGTTTCTGTTGAAGACAAGGTTGCTGATCCTGGTAACTATTGAGTAATGATCAGTTAAAGAAGTATGGACAATAAATGTTTTAACATTTGTTAATGAATTAGATTTTAAGAGTACATTATCTAAAAAGGATCCTCCTATTTCTTTAGTTCTAGTTACACAGTTAACGAGACTAATAAAGCCGTATTCATTTATTAAATCGAGATAGTTATTACTATCTGTACCGTTATTGATATATCTATATTTAAGTTACCTTTTATTACCGTGTAGTTACTTTTATTGGCTCTGGCTCTATGTAGAATAGTTTGTTCGAATTCATCTAAGAAGGAATTAATATTAATTTGGGGGGGGGTTTTAAATACCATAAACTGTGAAGTTTGAATTTCCCTTTTTGCAATTTATTTCTAGACTAGACAGTAGACATACAATTAGTGTCTAGATCAGTTACTTGTGTATTTATGATAGAATTATTTATAAAATCAATTATTCCATAACTTTGATTTATGTAGTTTGTAGTCTTGTACATAGTATAGTTTGGAATTTGAAATTGATTGTCATATAGATTATGTAAGCCTAGACTTCTGTTAAATAATTATATCAAAAATAATTGTTTGATTATCCAACATTATGCAAAATTCGTCAACATTTTTATTACACTTCTTATATTAAGGTGTATAATATTTAATGCCTGATCCCTATTTAATATTATAGTATTCATGTCTTCCCATGTATCATTATAAGTAATTATTTGATTATAGTCGTTGTCAAAATTATTACTAAGTATATTGTTAGACCTTATTAGTTCGAAAAATACGTATTTTATTTGTGTCTTTTTTGCAGAAGATTCTGCCATTCCTTGTCCAAATGTATCGGTATAAAAGTTCTTTTGCTTTTGATCTAGTCTCCCAAAGCAGTTTTCTATTGTAAGCTGTTAAGTTTTCATTAGGTAATATATATTGTTGATCCTTTGAATTCAATTTTTCCCCGTTTCCTAATGAATTCTTCCCTTTTTTTTTTTTTGAAGAAAATTCTACGACTGTTTGAGGTGCTTCCAAATTACGATTTGATAAATTTCGGTATACATTTTCAATATCAAAAAGACTAATATCAACTTCTCCAATTCCTGCGATATCATTAACGATTGTTTCAACATTTTCATTATTTTCGTTTTTTACGCCACTTATTTCTACTAGAGACGCTCTTTCGTTTTGTTCTAATATGTTGATTTTTATTTCTAGATTTTGTATTATGCCGTATTTTTCTTTTAATGTTTTCTCGAGTTCTAATATCCGGTTACTTAGGGTTAAGAGAGTATCATTAGTAGTTATCTGGTTTTTAATAAGTTCGACGAATCTAGTGGTTATAGCTCTGGTGTCTAAATCACTGTTCATATAGATATTTGAGTCACCTTTTGTTTGTGATATACCTTTAATGGGTGTATTTTCTCCTCTGTCTTGTTTAAGTTTTTTCGAGCAGTCTTCACAATTGAATGCCATCCCTTTTGATTTCATGAAGTCCAAAGATTCCGCATTCGAGTTAGAGCATTTCATATTATGTTATACATGCTTACACGTATTATATTGAATACTGACCTCATTTCGCGAAACTGTCAAATTTCATTTCGAACACGTTGTCATACCTGGACAATTAATTAACAAAACACGACTTAGCACAATGAACGACCGAACTGAACTGAAAATTCATTAATATTGTAATTATTTTTCATTTTAAACATTTTAATTATCGTATCTGTACACAATAAACATACTAAAATTTTTCAATAAGTATCTATTTTAAGTTACTGAAATATCTATTAAAATGTTTAGGTAATTTTATATCGTCATTTTTATAGTTTTTAGGTCATTAAAGCATTTTTTTTTTTTGCAATTTTACAGTTCATAAACATCTTTGGTAATCATCTTAGTATATACTAAGTAGATTATGCACCCTCATTAGATTTTTTACCAGTACGTTGAATCTTTGCTGGAAAACCAAAATCCGAGCACTACCAAACATTTTCCAAACGAACATGATATTAAAATAAACACTCTTGGCGGGGGTTTATTTAATGGGGAATGTGGGGGGTCCGATTCATTGCCATTTTTATTAAGTCCTGTAGAATGTAAAAACATCTAAAATATTCTAGAACCCATAAAAAAATTATACAATACCGTTCTAAATAACATTATGAAATAAAGAAAATAATATGCAGTATACAATTTTGGGCTCCGGGAGGCCCGGGAACCATTTTCACAACATCTTGGTAAAAAATATTGAATATATATGTAAGAACGTTGAATAAATTCTGGAAATCTTCAAACAAATTGCAAACAAAATATGAACGAGGTTAGAAATTACAATTTCTAAAAGAAAGGGAATCAGTCAAATACACTTGAAATAATATTTTTTAGAAAAAGCTTAAAAATATAATATATTATAATATTATGTAACATTATTATTGTTGAAATTCATAAAACGAAAAATACAATTGTTTCATTATACGTTTGTAGGTAATACATATTTCATATAGGTATTGTTTTTCTTATTGTAATCGTATAAATAATGGTATATTAAATCAATAACGGTAACCGAGTAACAGCACCGTGATAGTTTAAACTTTAAAGAGATTTTCACTGTAAAGGTAACATGCTAATTACTGTCACAAAATCATGATAGTGGATTTGGGATGTTTAAACTAAAATTGTTTTTCATACACTAATGGCTTAAAATATAGGGCATTATACGCCACTAACTGCAGATAATGCAGCGTTAAAAATAAGGCACTGTCGAAACTCAATTTTTCATATCTAATTATCATTTATTGGGAAAGTATAAAATGTAAAAACGCAATTATAACAATAATATTAATAACATGATTGAGTATAAATAGTAAAAAAATAAAGTTACATAATATTTACATATTCATTTTATAAATACGAAAACATAAAAATTAACATTATAATATAATTAGGTAGGTAGGTACGTAGATCGAATACATTCATAATTTGTTATACCTATACGTAAATATATTACCTAATATATTATACTATTATAGATAATACGTATACTAATAAATTTATATGTAGATAATTGTGTGTAGGTTTGAAAATGAAAGTGCTAATACCAAATTTCTGGAAATAATAATTTTACAATAAATACATGAAGAAAATCAGAAAGATGTTTATTCATCATAACGTATGATAATATGTGTTCACCGTTATGAAATTAAAGTAGTAATCAATAAGCACACACGTGTATAATAACGATAACAAATAAAATTAAAATCAAACAAAGAGTGACTATGTATAAATCATTGAATAAAATCTATAATAGAGAGAGGTATCTACTACGTATTTCAAATAGGTAAGTACCTATAATATTGTCAAATTAATTGACCAAATCACTCAAAAGGACATCTACTCTATTTCCCTCACCATAAAATGAATTGTTACTGTCAATTTTTACAACAAACTTTAGTATCTTTGAACTGATAATTAATTATTTTTTATCATGGCATGTGAGTATTTGTAAACGTTGTGTTATGTAATCCATATGTATATAAAATATAAATATCCGTAAATGGTCACTGCTACGCACATTGCTAAATAAAAATAATAAAATAAAACGAACGTTTCAAAGTCGTTGTAGTTCAGTAATTTAATTATTTAATAATACATAATATTATATCCAAAAATATCACTATTTGTTCTAAAACTGTTTAAATTTCAAATACTTTTTGAATCAATTGGCAATAATGATAATACAAAATGAATGAACTTAATTATGTTCTAAAATTAAAATAAACGCGCAATGTAAGTTAATGTTACTTACAGTTGGAAAATGTGGTGTTTGTGTGACGCACACCACGCTTTTTGAACTAAGCTGCTCTCATCTACCAATCGATCTTAAATTAAGTTCAAAAATTAGTTGGCGGAGTCTGGTCAATAAGTAATGTTTATAGACCTATAGTTTATTGGAGACTAAAAAATGTGTTTCTAGTGGACGACTTCTATATAAATTAAGACGGTTTGTATGTCATGCAGTTATTTCTTCCTATATAGGTACCTACTATAAAATTATAAAGAATTATAGCTAGCTGATACAACATAATCGTCAAATACAGAATTTTCCTATTTTTATAAAACTACCACCCTGTGATCGATATCATCTTTATTTCAGAAACGGAGACAAAAATTAACCGGATAAACATTTTTTAGGCCCACAGCCAAAAAGTTCTGAATATCTTATCGTCCAAGAGGGGGTATTAATGATTATTTCCTCCCCATTTTTTTACCCTCTTAACTAGAATAAATATATTGCCAATAAAGTTTTTGTGCCAGAGATAAGGAAATTAAAGAAAAACTTTTTCCGCTCAGACTGTACCTAATATACATTATACAGTATAATATTATTATATCATAATTAACTGGTAAATATAAACATAGGAACAGAGATAAAATTATATTTATTTTTCCCAAATTTCAATCTCTTATAAGTAATAAGTATACTTATTATATTATTATTATGTGTTTTATATGATTAATGATAAGCATTTAATTAAAATTGCTAAATTAAACGTCGCTATAAAAAAAAAAATGCCATCTAGCGTATCTAACGTAATATTATTTTTTTCAATTTAATACTGCGCAACAGTTTAGTAAGTGTGTTGTCATGTTAACATCAGTGGAAATCAAATTAAATTTTTGCATGAAATTTACTTAAAAAAAATAATTAATTACAGCAAAATATCTACCTTATTTAAAATATTAAACGTGCAGTTAATTTAGAAAATAATAAAATAAATTAATAAACTAACAAGTATACGTATAATGTATATATAGTATAAATATAATAGGTATATAATAATATACCTGATACATAACACGATGAGCTATAACAATTACCCGTAATAAAAATAATTAAATAAAAATGTACACTATTCCTATACGCACATAAGATATTTTTAATTTATAATTCGATAAGCAGTAAAATTTTAGCAAATATAAGAAATATTTAAATGTTAAAACTATCAAAAAAATAAATATTCTTATAGATTGAATAACATTCATAAATAAAATTTACCCAATTTAAATACAAATGGTTACATTTTTCTCTTCTTTCAAACTTAAAATTATGATGATACGATAAAAAAAATCAACCATGCAATTATGCACTTACCTATTACAATTTACAATTTACAATATAAAAATGTGTATTGTCATTCAACACATTAATAATTATAATATCTATTTAAGATTAAAAGTTTAGTATTTTCTATAGGTAGGTACCTATATATATGAGTAATGTATGAGTTAAATAGTATATTAAATAAAATGTATAATATATACAATTTGTAAGACTTAACTTAAGTAAAAATGTATAAAGATATAATATAACATAGACATGTAGAAGAATACTTCCATTTAATGTATATAATACTAGCTGGTCCCGTTCACTTGGTTGCCCGTTAAAAGTGCCAACTCTATATGATTCAAACTTTGTTCAATTCATTTATTTAATATTCAGTGTATGATGTTCAAAACTTAAACATTTTCATCGATCATCTTGAATATATGCATTTCCCGTGAGACACTCTTGTGATCATGGGAGCAGTATATTTTATAGTGGTAGACAGATATTGCAGACCCCCGCGAGGTGCGTACGTAATTACGAATGTTTTATTAACACGTCGTTATTGTGATGTGCATGTGTAGGTTCCCGGGACAACGGTCCAAAATGTATAGAAATGCCATTTTTACTAAGTTATAATATAGTTTTGACCAATTATAATATAGGTACAAGTCTAAAATTATATTCAATCATAACCAATAGCAACCTTACAATAAACAAAAATATATTATTATTTAGTTTATTTTTTGATGGACAGTTGGTGAACTCTTGTATTTTTTCCATCCAGATTTCCTACTTTTCCGGTGGATTTTCATAAAATGCTATTTCAAACCTTGCCTTGGCAATTACGAACAGAAAAAAAAATATTCAAATCGGTCAGCCGTTTTTGAGTTTTAGCGAGACTAACGGACAGCTATTAATTTTTATATACATATTATATGGATTAATAATAATATTAATATCATTTAAGCTAAACACCTTAGTTGTTGATTCTGTACCAAGAGTTAAAAATAAATAAAAAACATTCTCATTATATTTATATATATATTTATATGCATACAATATACATTATACGCATGTAAAAATATTTAATGTATCAGCACTATATCGACAGGACTTCTAGGATATGGTTATATCATAAACATGGCAGCGCTCAGTTCCAAAGGGGTTCGTGAATGCAGCGAAATAAAACGTTTAACGATGCACGACGTTTGCAATGCACGTGTTTTCCTTATTTTTGTCCCTACAAAACTTTTCTAATTTGGTGAAAATATTATAAAATATATAGAGGCATTATAATATAGATATATTTTTATTATTATTATTTCGCACAACTGAAAACGAAAATAAGATGTAACACCGAGGAGGAGAAGTATATAAAGAAAACTTTTTCCCGTAAATACAAAATCCATCCGCTGTT